GGATTTATCCAGGAGTGCAAGTTGACTTACCATTAGAAAATTAATCAGTGTAAATCATATTAATAAGCAAATAAGAAAAACCACATGATCATTTTAATAGATGCAGAAAAGCATTTGACAAAATCCAACATCCATTCCTGGTAAAAACTTTCAGCAAACCAACAATAATACGGCATTTTCTCAGCCTGATAAAGGCTATCTTCAAAAAACCTACAACTGACATCTTGCTGGTGAAAGACTGAGTATTTTCCCTCTAAGACTAGGAACAAGGCAAGGATATGTGCTCGCACCAGTTCTATTCAGGAGGGTACTGGAAGTTCTAGACAATGCAATAAAGAAAGAAAAAGGAAATAAAAGGCCTCAAGATTGAAAAAGAAGTCAAACTGTCTTTATTTGCAGATATGATTGTCTGCCTAGAAAATGCTACAAACCAGTTGCCGTAAAGTCGATTCCAACTCCTAGTGACCCTGTACGACAGAGTAGAACTGCCCTGTAGGGTTTCAAAGGTTGTAAATCTTTATGGAAGCAGACTGCCAATCTTTCTCCTGTGGAGCGGCTGGTGGGTTCAAATCGCCAGCTTTTTGGTTAGCAGCCGAATGCTTAACCACTGTACCACCAGGGCTTCTTAGAAAATGCTATGTCAAACCAAACCTATTGCTGTCGAGTTGATTTCAACTCATAGCAAACCTATAGGACAAAATAGAACTGCCCCATAGCATTTTCAAGGCTGTAAATCTTTACAGAAAGAGAGTGCTACATCTTTCTCCTGTGGAGTGGCTGGTGGGTTTGAACCTCTGACCTTTCAGTTAGCAGCCAAGTGCTTAACCACTGCACCACCAGGGCTCCTATAGAAAATGCTATAGAACCTACAAAAAACTACGAGAAGTAATATGTGAGTTTAGCAAGGTTGCATGATACAAGATCAATATACAAAAGTCGATTGTACTTTTATATACTGTAGTGACCAATTAGAATTTGACATCATTATCAATAAATGTGAAAATATTAGGACAAATCTGACAAAATATGTAAGACTCGTGCACTTAAAACTACAACTTATTGCTCTTAGAATTAAAGAAGTCCAAAAAATGGAGAGATACACTATGTTCATGAATCTAAAAAGACTTAATATTGTTAAGATGTCATTTCTCCCCTAATCTAAAGATTCAATGCCATTCTAATAAAAATATTAGCAGGCTTTTTTTGTAGATATTGACAAGTTGATGCTAAAATTTATGTGGAAACATAACCTAGAAAAGCCAAAACACCTGATGAAGAGGAACAAAGCTGATGAACTTACACAACCTGACTTCAACACTTATTATAAATAAAGCTACAGGACCGTATTTTTATGTAAATAATGTGATAATGTGCGTCTTCTACATTTATTTGCCAACTGCACCCTTTCCCCTTGAGGTATTTTCAGAAATGTGCTATGCTAATTTTTTATAGCGACATGTAAAAAAAAATTGCATAGGGGCACTTCTGAAAATAGCTCTCAGGGAGAGGGCTCAGTTGACAAACAAATGTAGAAGACATGCGTTATTTGCATGAAAAATACGGTAATCAAGACAGTGTGCTATTGACATCAAGACAGATAAATGGAAGAGTGGAACAGAATAAAGAAATAGACCCATACACAGGTGGTCAGTTAATTTTGCAGCAGCGGTGCAAAGGCAGTTCTGTGGAGAAAGGATAGTGTTTTCAACAAATGAGTGCTGGAACAATTGAGTAAAAAAAAAAAATTTTTTTTTAAACAGTCGGCAGTTTCTTTAAAAAGTTTAATGTGTACCTAGCATGTGACCCAGCTGTTCCACTCCTACGTATTTACCCAAAAGATATGAAACCATATGTTTATACAAATACTCGTACATGAATGTTCTTAGAGGCTTTATTTGCAGTAGCCCAAAACTAGAAACAACCTGAATGTCCCTCAAGTGCTGATTGGATAAATAAATTTCTGGTATGTTTATACAATGGAATACTAGTCAGTGATAAAATGGGATGTACTATTGATACAAAATCTGTTGCCATCGACTTGATTCCGACTCATAGTGACCCTATAGGACAGAGTAGAACTGCCCCATAGAGTTTCCAAGGAGTGCCTGGTGGATTCGAACTGCCGACTTTTTGGTTAGGAGCCGTAGCACTTAACCACTAAGCCACCAGGGTTTCCATTGTTGATATACACAACAAAAATCGATAAATCTCAGAATAGTTAAGCTGAGTAAAGGAAGCCAGACCAAAAATAACAAAAAAACGATTATGGTTCTGTTTATATAAAGTTCTAGAAAACCCAGACGAAGCTATAATGACAGAAAGCAGATCAGTGGTTACCTGTGGGTTGAACAGGGTAGGGAGAAGCACGATGTATGGATTACCAAGGGGTGCAAGGAAACTTGTGAGTGACAGATATGTTCATTATCTTGATCGTGGTGTTGGTTTTACCTAAACATATCAAATTGTAAATTTTAGGCAGTTTATTGATAGTCGATTATACCTCAATAAAGCTGTTAAAGAAAAAGACCAAATAATATGATAAAAAAGACAAATAGAACTTACAGGAATGAAAAATGAAACGGAAAACATAATACATGTGTTAAACAGCAGACTTCTGAAGAGGTAACTAGTGAGCTCCAGTATAGACCTGATGTTGAGTGAAAAATACGAAAGAGTTGGAGTTGTGGAGGATTAAATGAAAAGGTTTACATGTTTATTCAAAGCTCTGGGAAGAGAGAATCTGTAGGGTAAGGAAGAAGCAATATTCAAAGAGATAATAATTAAGACTGTCAGAGTGACATTAACCCTCAGCATGGCAATTTCTGAGTAGGGTAGTGAAAATAAATCCATGCGTTATAAATATATCACAATAAAAACGCAGAACACTGAAGACCCCTTTCTCTGCCCCCTCCCCCACAAAAAAAGAAGTAAATAGAAACAAACTAACCAGGGAGAAACTACAATACTTGAACAGGAATGATTATTAGATTGGAATCACAGAAGCTCCAAATAAAAGCTGGAAGAGTTGGGTATCTTCAAGGTGCTGAGAAGAAATAACTGTCAACCAAAAATTCTAAGCTGTAATTCACGTGAAGCTGTGTACATTGCCACCTTGAATAGTAAGGAAGATGATGTGGAGAATGGATAGTAGGTAGGTTACCAGCAGTTCTACCATGACTTAAGCTATGGAGGGAAACAATTGGAATAAAGAAAATGTCATCTAAGAATAGACAGGTAAGTAGGAAAAATTGAAGCACAGAAAAAAGCAGGTAAGACAGCACAAAAGAGATGGTAGGAAGGTAGGTGGTACTGAAGTCATGGGTTCTAGCATGTAGTGTGTCCTCGCGTCTACTATCTGTTATGAACACAGCGAGCCAGAAGCATCTGCCTTCTGAGTGGGTTCTCTGCAGAAATCTGTAGTTGTGGAAGTTGAGATACCTGGCTGACGGTTCCATGTGCATACATTGGCAGTCTTGGGAGGGGTCTGAAGCCTGAAGAGCGGCCTTTTTGACCCTCTTCTCCTTGCCTGTTACTCACTTCAGAAATGTTTTCCTATTCAGTTTCTGTGGGGATGGCTTACTACTAACCATGACACTTTAGCTCTAGAATTCTGCTTTTCTTAGTTGTTGCCCTCCATTAGTCCAGAATTTGCCCTTATGATCTAGACCAAAGAGGGAGAGTCAGCCTCAGGAATATTGGGGTAGGAGGTACTAACTAAAATAGCCATTTATGCTTAATCTTCATTGTTTCTCACATACAGAATGGTATTCTGTTCAGACAGCATAATCATCTCAACTTAAATCATAGGCAACATTGCCACCAAGCTGCGATTCTAGATAAGTGGTAAAAGAAGATCTCAAACAAGGCTTTAGAGTAGTTGGCCTACCCAGACTGGATGTGTAGAGATTGGATGATGGACACCCATAAAATTTGTTAGCTGTGAATTGGAAAGAAGTACAGAAAAATGACATATTTAAAAACATACAGGAAAATAAAAATTAACTATGTAGTCCAAAAATTTTGCTCAAACATTTTCTGTATCCCTAGAGTTCTGGGAAATGTCTAGTATTTGAGAACTAACTGTATGCAGGCATGTATTTAGAAGAGAAGAACTAAAAATCTGCTTCTCTTACCTTAAAAATTTATATAACCAAAAGGCAGGCAAACCTATGTAGCTTATTTTTTGAGCCCAAGTTTTTCAGCCTCAAGAACATTCTCCAAAATTTTAAGGAAGCCATGCCAGTATTGTCACCTCAAAGACAAAATATAATGTTTTAAACTTAACCTCATTTTTACAGATGAGTAAAGTATCATTTTCTGCATAAATTTGTAATCTAATCTACATTAATTGTCCAACTATTGCTAAAGTTATTTTGCTTTTAGTAAACAGCCTTTTAGGAGGCCGATATCTGTCACCTAAGCATTTGGCACCTGAAATTCAGAATAAATGCCAAAATAGTATTTTGTTGTTGCTAGGTGCTATCGAGTCAGTTCTGACTCATAGTGACCCAGTGTACAACAGAACGAAGCACTGCGCGGTCCTGCACGATCCTTATAATCGTTGTTATATTTGGGCCCTTTGTTGCAGCCACTGTGTCAATCCATCTCTTTGAGGGTCTTCCTCTCTTTCCTGACTCTCTACTTTACCAAGCATGATGTCCTTCTCCAGGGACTGGTCCCTCCTGATAACACGTCCAAAGTATGTGAGACGAAGTCTCGTCATCCTTGCCTCTGAGGAGCATTCTGGCTGTAGTTCTTCCGAGACAGATTTGTTCTTTCTTTTGGCATTTCATGGTATATTCAATATTCTTCGCCAACACCGTATTTCAAAGGCATCAGTTCTTCTTCTGTCTTCCTTATTCGTTGTCCAGCTATTGCATGCATATGAGGCAATTGAAAACACCATGGCTTGGTGTTTATAGCATTTTATAAACAGCTAAATGGTCCATTCTCTCTCACTTTTGAGGGCGAACAATTATGCAGAGCTCTTCTGATTGCAGGGAGAAAAACTAAACCACCGCGGCCAGATTCCCCAGCCACTACGCCAAACATATCTGTGAAGAAGAAAAGCAAAGATGGGAAGGGTGAGTACTACTGTAATTTCCCTATAATGCGTACAGGTCAAATAGCATTCAGATTACATTAGAGTGTCTGCATATTGTAAGTAGAAACCACCAGCTTCCTTGACATATTAAAATGGATCTTATTGCTGCCACGTTTATAAGATATGTTTAGCACTTTCTGTAAAGAGATGTTAATAATGTAGTCGAAGAAATCTGTTTGAGTGATTTTCACTTCCATGTCAAAGGAATCCATTATTTCATTACATTATGAGGCTCTTAGAAGAGTTTAGCCAGGTTAGGTTTTCACTTCATAGGCACTTTATTATGTTGTCTTAATGTTCTAATATTTTCATAACTACTTCCCAAATTTGGAGAAAATTGCTATGTGGCTGATGTTCTGCCTCTGATATGAAGAGAACAACTATTGAAAGATTTTGTACAACTTTTCCACTGCTGCTTATTTTATGTAATGGTTCTTAAAGAGGCAGGAAAAAAAAAAGTCTCAAAATGCTTTCCAACTAAGTAATCACAAATCTAAGATTGATCTGTTCAGACATCTCATAAGGGACCAATGAAAAGATCTATATTAGACTCTGAAAATTATGACCCTTATATCTCAGAAATCTGACTAAATTATGTAATATTTTCATATAATTTTAGATGGAACTTTTATAAGGCTTTTAAGTTATATTTTATTGTGTTCTTTTAAAGGAAATTTTGGTGAGTTAAAAAGGAAATTGCTTTTGTTTCAGGGAACACAATTTATCTTTGGGAGTTTCTACTGGCACTGCTTCAGGACAAAGCTACCTGTCCTAAATATATCAAATGGACCCAGCGAGAAAAAGGCATTTTTAAATTGGTAGATTCTAAAGCAGTGTCCAGGTTGTGGGGGAAGCACAAAAATAAACCTGATATGAATTATGAGACCATGGGAAGAGCTCTCAGGTATGTGAAGTTTTTACAGTTCATTGTGTTAAGAATCTCATTTTCTAAATACTTAAAATATAGGTAACTTCTAAAAAATTAAGGGACTAAAGACATAGTGAACATTACTTACTGAATTTATTTTACATACTAAAATCAGTATGCATTTATTTAGAAATCTTATTGCAGTCTAGGAAAATATTTTCCTTCCAAGGAATCTTTGTACAAAAAACAGATATTTTATTTATAAAGGGATTAGAAAATGTTAAGCTATCACCAGTAATTGGAAATGAACCATGGGTCCCATACGTTTTGAAACATTAAACTTAAATTCAGCACAAAGTAGAAATAGTGATAATGCAAGTACTTAAGAAGATATTACTGAGGGTTCATTTTTAAACATGAATCTCAGGTGTAATATGATATTTATTATGGTAGAATAAATTAATGTTTTAAGAGTAATAGTAGACATTATGAAAATTTTGGACAAGTGTGCCATTTTATTATTAAGCTCATTTTTATTTGTTTTTCTGTTATCATGTCATTTATTCTTCAAGATATGCATGTCCTTGAGAATCATGTTAGAAATATCAATGATCTGAATGATAACCTTCTTCTTAAACTAGAACTATTTAATTACAGGCTTGTGTGTATGTATTTCTTTTTAAGCTTACACTTTAGGTTCTCCTTGATTTAATTAAAGTTGATGACAAACTTTAAATGACTTCTTGTACATCATTAAATGTTATACACAACACAATCAAATAACTGAATCAAATTTGAACTTTGAAAGCAGATTATAGGAAGCTATGAAGGGGAAACAATTTCTTGAGGGTGGGGATTTGTAGTAGATTTGATTATATCTGAATAAGGGAAATCGCAGAAGGGTAGAGGAGAGAAGAAAAGTAAAGGTCCTGAATAATCCACATGCTTTATCAATAATAGTCCCTAGTTGGAACTGATTTTAGATTTAGTTGGTAATAATGACTTTTCTGTATGTGTGAGTAAATGTGTGTGTTTTTCATATATTCAGCTTTAAGCCTTTGTTTATGATTCACAACATTTGATTTTGTTGAATATCATTTTAACTTACATTTGATTGAGTAAAATATTGATGAAATTGTCTGCTTTCAATAGGTACTATTACCAAAGGGGTATTCTGGCAAAAGTGGAAGGTCAGCGCTTGGTGTATCAGTTTAAGGAAATGCCAAAAGATCTTATTTATATAGATGATGAGGATCCAAGTTCCAGCATAGAGTCTTCAGATCCATCACTGTCTTCAACAACCACTTCAAGTAGGAACCAAGCAAGCCGATCCAGGGTATCTTCAAGTACAGGGATAAAAGGCACCACTACAGTTCTCAAACCAGGAAATGCTAAAGCTGCAAAACCCAAAGATCCTGTGGAAGTTGCACAGCCATCAGAAGTTTTGAGGACAGTGCAGCCCACACAGTCGCCATATCCTACCCAGCTCTTCAGGACTGTTCATGTAGTACAGCCAGTACAAACTGTCCCAGAAGGAGAAGCAACTGTAACGAATAGCATGCAAGAGGAAACATTAAATTCTTCCGTTCAGAGTATTAGGTGAGAAAACTAAGTTACCCACTGCATGATGCCACTATGTGATGTTTCTGACCAGAGCCATTATTTGGTTAAGTAGGTTGAGATTCTGAAGTGAAAATAAAAATCATATCGATTTTAAGCTAGAACTCTGTTTTTTTCTTTTACTTTTAGATTTAATAGATATAAAAATACTCTGGCAAATTGTTACATAAATGTTTCTAAATGCTTACTCTTAATTTCTGTACTTATCTCCTCATGGACCAGGAACAGACATTCACAGATTGGCACCAGTCTGTGGACCATATGTTGAAAAGTACTATATTCAAAAAATCCCATGATGTAGTTTATGACTCTATTCTGCAGATGAAGAAAGTGAGGCGCAAAGCAAAGCAGTTGCTTATCTTGCTAATGAGGCCAAATTAGAACCTTTGGAGGTAAATTCTTGATCAACAGATTGTTTCAGTAGCAGTAAATATTATGTTAGTCGTCTATCAGTGATTCCTTATTTTTAAACTTTGACATTATTGTACCAATTTAAGTCTAATGCAGTATATAACTGGATTGATCCATACTAGGAGTGATCCAAATGTAAGAAAATCCAGAGAATAGTTTCAGATCTTTTTTCAACCAAGTTAAAAGCTGTAAACGTTCAGTATAAATCTATGTATCAAGATCTTTCAGCACACATTTAGTTTCAAGATAATAAACATTATTCCTTGGAATGATCCTATCATGGGATACTTCTAAAGTTCAAACAGGTAGGGAGACCAAGACTCTAAGGTTGCCGTGTTCTCTTTTTCGGGCTTGTAGAATGGCAGAAGTTGGAAGAATAGTTTTTTATGTTTGTTTGTTTAATCAAATCATATTTACCTCATATCCCCAGGAAAGACGTGAAATAACAGATAGACCAAGAGAACCCTGTCTGTTTTTTGACTAGTGTTTCGCAGAAAGTTGGGACTGGTCCCAACTGATTTAGAATGGTGATGGTGCTGGTGCTGTGGTGGGGAAGCAGAAAATCTAGATGGGCATTTGCGGTGTCATTCAGTTTTTCTGTTTCTACTGTCTGTGAATTTCTAGAAACTGAAGTATAATAAAACATAGGAGCCCTTCCAAAGCCAATAAAAACGATTCTTTGATTAGTTTAATTAGCAGACTTCACTCCTCTATTTGTCTACTCCAGAATGTAAATGCTGGGTTTTGCTCAAATGATCTTGAAGTAAGTTACTGTTACCTAGAATCCAGACAGACTTGGATGATTAAGTTTTCCTTGTATAATCAGTTTAAACCTTCAACATTGTGAAATCTAATTCTCATAAATCTAGTTGATTTGTAAGAAGAGGAATATAAAGATCTTTTTTTTTTCCTAATTCAATTGGACAGGAACGATGGCATCTTCAGCTTTTACTGAAGGAGTACTTTTTTTAGCTCTTGTTCCTTTTAATGTTTTATTTTCCTCTAGGTCCTGCTGGTTACATGTGGTAACCGGGTGTCCAGTGGGAGTATGCAGCTCCTCCCATCAGTTTCTAGGCTTTTTGCCATCATAGTGTTGTGTTTGTGTTGATAGGAAATACGTAATAGCCAGTAGTTACTAGGACCCCCTTCTTGGAGGGTCCTAAAGTAGATTTGTTACACTGTTTCCTTGAAGCTTTTGTTAGATCTGTGTTGCACACAGAGTGCAGTCCAGTTTGTGTAGCCTTGCTTGCCACCTCATTATGCTTTCCGTGCTCCCCAGCTAAGCCTGACGACTTGCCTGTACCTCGGTCTAGTATATACACCTGGCATTTCAGTTGATTCTAATCGCTGCCTCATCCTGTATATTTAAATCTGTAGGAGCCAGATTTTATGCATTGCCATTTCCCCCAGTGCCTAACATAGTATCTGGCACATAACATGCATTCATATTTATTGAATTTGTCTTGAAGTCGTGTATATATTCATTCCCTATCTTCTCTCAGGATAATAAGTTCTCTAAGTGGACCCTCTGTAGCATGAAGAAATATAAAATTTAACTTCCTCAAACTTTAAGTCATACATTCTTACCGTAGTAAGTCATCCTTCAGTTTGTATGTATATATGTATTTATTTGTTGGGTTTTTTTTTAAATTTTTAGTTCTCTCATTTGGTTATATCTTTTGTTTTCCACCCAAAAGTCCTGCTTATTTTCTAGCAGTTAAACTTTTAATAGAATGCATTTTATTCCCTGAAGTTACTAGATGTGGAAAGAAAAAAGGTAATGAGTGGCAACATCCTTGAAGGCTTACAGGTACTGAATATAATTACTTAGTTTTTGCTTTTATCTTGTTCCTGTCCACCATACAGAAAGAAAAAAATGTTAAATAAATTTCAAGCAAATTGTACATATCATATTGAAATTTTACCATATTATTAGACTAGTTTTTCATTAGAAGAATTAATTTCTAGAATCTGTTATAGTCCCTTGCTTAGTGATTTTTTTTCTATTTGCATTTTTACAATTTCCCCAGCTTTTTATTATGAAAAATTTCAGAATATGGAGAAGTTGAAATAGTACAGTGAACACCTATTTACTGTCCTCCTAGAATCACAAATTGCTGGCATTTTGCCTTATTTGTTTTCTGTCTGTATTTATACTCTTTTTTTCTGTTTGACTATTTGTCAAGTAAGTTGACCTGATCATGACATTTCATCCCAAATGATTCAACCTGCAGCTCTTAAGAAAAGGCATCATTCTGTACAATCATATTATCACTCCCAAAAAGTTATTAGTTTAGCAATATCTTTCTTGATCCTGTGACTACTTATTAATAAAAACATGGAAAGAACTTTTTAAGATTTTTCTGTGTCTGAGAAGGTAGAATGAATATTATCTAAAATTTAGCTAAATTGTTAATGTAACAACAAGAGCTATAGAGTACTCTATATGCAATACCCTTTACATATATTGTATAGAATCCTCTTAGCTCAATGAGATGTAGACAGTTTTACAGATGAGGAAACTGAGGCAAGGAGAGGCTAAGGAGCTTGGTTACATCTAGTAGGTGGCAGTATCTAGCCAGTATTTTTAAGGTAAGCAGTTTAGCCCAAAGCAGTAAGCTTAATGACATGCGATACTGCCTGTTGATTTATATAAATCACATGAATTATTAGTTATTTACAATGAAGCAGCAACATTCCAGTTTTCTTCCTTCGCTCATTGCTCTGCATCTCAGATAATTGCATGTATCTGTGTTGAAATTAATTAAACTTTTTTTGGTATTGATTTATGGTATTTATGTGCTCAGTTTTTACAAATTTAAATTTGACTCTGGCTTCGTATTATTAAAAATAAATAAAGAACCTCTGGTAAATTATTTTCCTGGAATTAGACCTTGGTAAACTTGGACATCTGTATACCTAGCAAAAGTATTTATAATATGTCTGTTTATTCAAGAACAAGTGGTTTGTCTTAAGGGTCTTTTAAATAATTAGCCTCTAAAAAATGTATAATGTATGTTACCTAAAAAGTAATGTAATGGAGATGGAAGAATGTAGTCATAACCCTCCACCCCTCCACCTTGCCAATTATTAGATCTGACATTGAGTAAGACAAACTACTCTGAGTCTGTTTTGTCATCTGTAAAATAAGGATGATAACACTTAACCTTATAGGTGGTTGTGATGATTAAATGACACTTGCTGACACATAAGTAGATATTTGACAGAAGTTAAATGTTATGTTGTACATCTTTCTTAGAAAATTTTATGAATTATAAATCAGCAAGCATTGTACCACTTGGTTATAAGAAGCTTAGAATTTTAAAAAAGCAGCTAATATAACCTATGTGACCAAACACAACCGACAGTTTAATCATTAACTAAGAAAAAAATAATTAAAAATTGCTGTGGTGGGGGAAAGGCTATCCAATATCTTATCCTTTAATCTCTGATTTCTTATTAGTAAAAATTATCTTAGACGAATTTGTTTAAATAAGCCAATATATTTATATCATAGACACTGTAGATATAGATATATTTTCTGGCAGATGGTAGTCAAATGTCTTAAGAAAGGAACACTTTCTTCTAATCTGAACAAAAGCATTGAGGAGCTAGTGGTAGCCCTGATTAGCAGCATGGAAAATTTCCAAGTATGGTATTGCTTGTGTCACATCTGAGAGGGGAAATGAGGAAGGGAGGAGGTGTGTATTAAAGAGTTGTAATTGGCTACAGTTTAAAGGATAATTAATGTAAATATTCATCTTTTGCAGAAGTTATTCAGGACTTAAGAGGTAGCAGTATGTTGAAATGGTTAAGTACATAGGCTCTGCAGGCAGATGGCTTCTTATCTAACTGGTCACCTTATAGCACCTCTTCACCCTCCTTGTGCATCAATTTTCGCATATGAAAAATGGAAATAATAGTACTTATAAGGTTGTTGTGAGGGTGAAGATAACATGAAAGTACTTAGAACAGCCCGGCATATATTATGGCCTTAATTCTTATATAAATGTGTATCTACGTTGGCAAGGCTATACATTTTTATAGATAGAATCTGTGTGCTTACTCTCTGCTAAGCACTCTTTTTCTGTGTGTACGTGTATATAAACTCTTGGCACAGGAAGCTCTTGGGTCTTTTTTATTTTAAGAATGTTTTATCTGGCTGTATGGCTCAGATTCCCCGAGATATGCTAGTTCGGGTGAGTGGGGGGGTGTATTTTGAAAAGCTCCCTAGCTGCCACACTGATTCTGTTTCTTTTCAACTCACCCCTGCCTGCCCAGTCATGTTAGTGTGTCGGGACTTTATTCCTAGCCATACCCTGGCCAGTTGTTGTCAATTCCTATTCATGGCGATCCCCAAATGTGTCAGAATACAACTGTGCTCCACAGGGTTTTCAGTGACTGATTTTTTGGAAGTAGATGGCCAGGCATTTCTTCTGAGGCCCCTCTGGGTAGACTTGAACTGCCAACCTTTCTGTTAGCAGCTGAACATGTTAATGGTTTGCATCACCCAGGGATTCCAGCCATACCCTAAACCCCACCAAAACCCATTGCTGTCAATTCGATTCTGACTCATAGTGACCCTACAAGGCAGAGTAGAACTGCATTATATGGCTTCCAAGGCTGTAACCTTTACAAGAGCAGACTGACACATCTTTCTCCCGTGGAGTGGCTGGGGGGTTCCAACTGCTGACCTTTCGGTTTGCTGCTGAGCACTTAACCACCGTGCCACAAAAGCTTGCTCCTTAGCCATCCCGTAGTCACCTACTAAATCCTCATTACCTAACTCACATCTGTTCTAGCTCTGTCATTCAAAAGAGCTGTTAATATCCTGCTGTAGACTGATCCTCATAATGGCTGACAATCTGAACATGGGAATCAGTATCTTAGATGAATGGGTGAGCTCTAGTCATCCTGTGTCTTCCCACTTCATTTCAACCTGTGAGTTGAGCTGATCCTTCTTTTTATCTTTCCACCTAGCCCATTTATTTTCTCCTCCAGAATTTAATTTGTCTTATATATGTCAAGCCACATACCTGTAACTTACTACAATTTAGCTTTAATAATCTACTGGCAATAATTGACATTATGAGAGCTAGTCTGTTACCTATTTGAAGTAGCAATCATTTTCATAAAATAGCTTTACAAAATTCAGAGAGAAAAAAATAAAAACACAGTTGAGATCCAGATGCTGAGTTTTTTCAACTGCAGTTTGTTTTCTATTAACAGTGACCATAAGGATAAATTTCACAGCTGTGAACTTTTACAATTAGATTGACTTGTGATAACATTTATGTACCTCTTTCTTCAATAAATGGGATTAACAACCGCACATAAACTGGCAATGCTAGATTAACAGCACCAAAAGATTTTACGTTAAATTGTAACTTTATGACTAAAATCCGTGAAATTATTTGAGCCTAGAAAATTGCTAACCCATACTTCTGTTTGTTTGCCGAAGCTTGTCATTATTTTTATGTTCTCTCTGCCAGGCTAAGAACCCTCAGAAGTCAATTATAGACATGACTTGCTTTATGTAAATATATTAACTATGAAATATTAAAATTATTTTAATAATTCAGCCACAAGTACATTTAAGACTTTTTTTTTGTTTTTGCTTTTTAATTAGTGTTTTTCATCTATAACTATAGAAAAACAGGTTAAAAACAATTATAATGACATGAACTTACTCATTGTTGTGGATGAGCTACAGCCTACTGATATTATTCCTCAGATATTGAGAGTGAATCAAACACATTTGTTTTTAAATTCCTGCTTTTCTTTCAAGCAGCTCACATGTAACGCCTTTGCTGAGCATTTTGATATTTCCCTTCTTCCCTATTTGTGTTAATGTGGCACTTTATACAGATCTTTTGTCGGTAGAACTCACCAGATGGTATCACAGTTAAAGGCCTGAGAGTTTTGTGTTGGGCATCTCTGTGTCTACAGTGTTTAATAGAGTCTGGCAAAAATATCTGTTACATTGTGTTGAAAATTTGAGAAATAGCATTTGAAATGTATAACTTGTATTCTGTCATAATGACTTGTCAAATGTAAAATTTTTAAATGATGTGGAATAGGCTAATTTTCTCACTTTTATTTCATAATCTCAATAGGACTATACAGGCTCCAGCTCAAGTCCCAGTGGTTGTTTCTGCGGGTAACCAGCAGTTGCATACAGTAACACTCCAGACAGTGCCGCTTACAACAGTTATAGCCAGCACAGATCCATCATCGGGTGCTGGATCGCAGAAATTTATTTTACAAGCCATTCCGTCCTCACAGCCCATGACAGTACTGAAAGAAAATGTCATGCTGCAGTCACAGAAGCCGGGTTCTCCTCCTATTGTCTTTAGCCCTGCCCACGTACAGCAGGTCCTTACTAGCAACGTTCAGTCCATTTGCAATGGAACCGGCAGTATGGCTTCATCTCCATCCTTCAGTGCCACTACACCTGTGGTGACCTTTTCTCGAAGTTCACAACTGGTTGCTCACCCACCTGGCACTGTCATCACTTCAGTTATCAAAGCTCAAGAAACAAAAACTCTCATACAGGAAGTAGAGAAAAAGGAGGTCGAAGATAATTTGGATGAAGACACTGAGAAGATGGAGGCACAGCCACAGCCTTTTGTGATGGTGGTGTCCAGTTCCAATGGACTGACCTCTCAGGTAGCTATGAAACAAAATGAACTGCTGGAACCCAACTCTTTTTAATTAATGTACCAAAGGAATTATGGATGATTGTTTTTTAATTGAACATTTTCAGTTGTTTGCAAACTCTCTGATCCTATGACAAATTCAACAGAGGTTCCTGATTTTTGTAGTTAATTGTTAAAATAATTTAGAGTTAATTTTGACGTTCGATGAGGGAGGGAAAACCCAAGTGCTTTTGTTTGTTCTCCAAATGTTTCAGAATTCAATTGTGAAGGAACATTTTATACTATGAAAACATTCTTTTGCGATTTTTTTTGTTGCTACATCATAAGCATTTTTAAACTTTTCTAATTTTACATTTTAATAGCCTTTCTGATTCTTTTGTAAATAAGTACTTAAATGTAAGGTAACAGGAAATTTATATAGGAACTGTTTTCATTCCACATGCATGTTAATTAAGTCTTGACTCTTTCAAGTGCAAAAAATCTATTTTATGCTTTGTTAAAATTATGGTTTCACTTAGATTGACTTTAGTTGGCTGCACTATGAACTATGGGTATGTAAAATAGGACATTAAAAAATCTCAACATGCCCATGAAGTGGCTGAACCTTGACTGCTTTGGAATTATCTCCGAAAGCAGGATAGTATAAAAGCATCAGCCTAAGAGTGGCTGTCCCACTAACTAGCTGTGTAACCTTGGGCAAGCCACTTAATCTTTCAGGGCCTCAGTTGTGCTCATGAAAGGAAAGGAGGTATTAGACTAGATGATCTCCAATTTCCCTTCTAATTCTAAATCTTATGATTCTAACTCCTATATTTTAAATTCATGCCAATTAAAACATTATCAGGTTATATCCTAATGTAAATATAGCTAAAATACAGAAGAAAAATAAGTGGCTCCACAAAATTTGTTCTTCCATTATCAGTAAGGTCTGCCATAAGCTTAAGTTCTTCCAAAATCCTTTGTTCATTAACTCCTTAGGCCTGTGTGGGCCACTGTTGAATGCTTAATGATATACTGCTGTTGTAAAAGAGTCAAAGACCTTTCTTAAGGGCCCAGAAAGCATTTTGAGTCTTGGGCTAATCCGGCCAAGTAGTCAGTTGCTGTAAAAGCACCGTCGCTTTATGTTTTGGATCACTTTTTTATTGGGGGTGGGGGTGGGGGGAAATTGCATACAAAGATATATACATATATATATCCTAGTTTCTGAAGTAGTTTTTAGATTACTTTTCCAGCTGTAAATAATGTACATTTACTTTCTCAAGAAAAATTTTTCTCTTCGAATTTTCTAGTATAGCACAGAAAAATTTTTGTAGATGAAAAAATCATTATGTTTAGAGGTCTAATGTTGTATGTTTTCATATTTCAGAGTGAATTTGTATTTAAACAAAATTTTAAAATTTGGAATCCTTTAAACTTTTTTGTATCTTCATTTGGTTTATTAAATAAATCATGCAAAAATTCTTGAATTTTTGTTTTCAAGCAAATGTGTCCTAAGAAACAAGTATGCGTAGTATTCCTAGTATTTACCATGCTATTAAATGTTTATGTAACAAACTCCATTAGTCATATTAGAGTTGCAGAATGTCATCCTCTCACTTTTCCTTTCTACCATGCCAAACCAGTTCCCCAGACATCTCCACACAATGGATTACCAAGCTTCAAAACTTAGAAAACGATAAAATGTTCTCCGCATCAATATTAAACACATTTTTAAGAACAGGTTTTCTACCTAGAAACTAGATCAGTTAATTGTTAAACTTAGAAAATACAGAAACAAGAAAATAAAAATCACCATAATCTCATACACAGTAGTAAGTTTCACTTACTCATTTTTCCATGTCTATTAATATTTTCTAAAATAAAATGTTAAAGGCAGCATAATATTATATTAGGACACTATAATCCAGTTAAACAAAAACCCTTTTGATTGGATAAGTTAGTTTTGTGGTTTTTCTTTACATAATAAATAACAGTGAATTTACAGCATGTACCATTTTCTTAAGGATCTTACAATGTCTAATGATATCAGTTTTCCTTATTATAGGGTATACCAGCTAGGCTACTTTTATATATAATGATGAGAAACACGATTTTGGTTTTTTTTATTTTTTAACCCCTTTCTACTTTAAAAGATGTCAAATGTTTTGTGAGCACCAGAATTTTTAGAGATACTTTCATTTAAGGTTACTGGAACAGTGTACAATTACCCTGAACACTGAAATTGCAAAGATAGAAGAAGCCTAGAAGTCATATACCAGGAACTTTAAAATCTCAGAAACTTAATACAGTTAACTTTTTTGGCTTGAACTAAGTGTCAGCTACTAAGGGGCCTATTTTTTTTTATTAGTGTCATTTATGTATATAGTCCTTTTTATATCTATTGTCACATTCTAATTTTAGTCCTTATTAAGCTACTTCTGCCACAGTTCATTCATTTAACCAATATTTGAGTGCCTGCTCTGTGCCAGACATTATCATTGGTGCTAGGGATACATCAGTGAACACAACAGATAAAAATTACAACCCTCACAAAGCTTACATTTTATAATAGACAAAGGTGACTTCAGGCTTGTGAACTCTTATTCAGAAATGCTCACGCCTACATGAAACACGCATTTCTTTCCCAGTTAGTCTCTCCAGCTCTGTGTCTAGGATCTGGATGATGTGCAGTCCTCTTTATCAGATCAGCTGTGGCTCCCTGGTCTCTTGACCTCCACAGCCATGTCTGGTATGAGCACTGGAAAGAATACTCTTTCCAAAGCTTCATAATACATTTCTTAATGGTTTGAGTTTAATGCTGTTTCAGGGTCACCATTTTCCCAGCCTGGAATAGTTGTGTCCGCAATGCCTCCATCCTGCCTCCTCTACTTGGCCAGTTATACATATTAGGGTTCGTTTTGTAGCATTCCACTTCCAATTACCAAATTACCTTATCAGTTTGGGTTCTTAGCCATAAACAACAGAAATGGATTCTGGTTTTCATCATAAAGAGATTTTATTGAAAGAATATTAGGCAGCTCACAGAATGGCCAAAAGGACTGGAGAATCAGAGTCAGTCTGAGCCACACAGCTAGGAACGGTTCCCAAAACCATGCTGCATATCTGGTCCAGTGAGGAAACTGCAGCCATTGTTGCCAAGCACTAGATACTGCACTTTGTACCACTCTCTAGTGCTTCAGAAATTGGATCTTGCTACTAGTGCTACCTATGCCATCTAGCGAGAATTCATCAGTCTTTCCTTGATTTTTTGTGACACTACCAATTCCAAAGTATATGGTAGAATATACATCACATGCCCATGCCTTTATTAAAACTCCAAGAGAAGTTGAGAAAGCAAGTTCAGCTTCTCAACTGGTTTGGCATTTTCAACTTCTATACAGAGAAGCTGGCTCAGTGGGAGCCAAGACTCAAGGAATTCCCCAAACATAGGGAGGGGGCTTAGAGTCAGAGTAGCCCAAAGGAAAGATCAATATGCTGTACAGTGACAAATTCAGCTTTTGTGGGGCCTGAACTTACCCAGTTTTGGTAGTGGTGGTGTCTTATTTAGGAAAAACATAAAATGAGAATACCAAATTAGAAGACTTTGAAGGGGCCTACACCAGTGAGCAGCCCTGAAGCTATGCTTTCCAAGTCGCTGTGCTCACTCTACTTTCCAGACCTCTGCATTTGCGGTCACTCTGCTTGACACAGTTTATCTCATTCTACGTAGCTAACTCCTTCCCGTCCTTCAGGCCTCAGCTTAGACATTACTTCTGGGTGCTTCCTCTGAGCTCTTAAAACCTTCCAACTGTTCTCATAGAACCCTTTAATTTCTCCTATCTTGGTACTTATGACACTGTAATTGCCTGTTGATACATGTAATTCCATCACTAGATTCTAAAATGTCAAAGTTGTAGTTATTTTTGTATCCCCAGCCATGACCATACTATCTGTGCGTAGTAGGTGACTGTTCAAATCCTTTGCCCATTTTTTGAATGCTTTGTTTCTCAGTACTGCTGTAACAGAAACACCACAAGTGGGTGGCTTTAACAAACAGAAATCTTTTCTCACAGTTTAAGAGGCTAGAAGTCTGAATTCAGGGCACCAGCTCTAGGGAAGGGCTTTCTCTGTCCATCCTAAGGGAAAATCTTTGTCTCAGCTTGTCTAGCATTCTTCTTGCTATTCTTGGAGAGAGATTTCCACATGGCATCTACCTTTCCCCCATTCTTGCTTGTTTGCTTCTGTGCCTCAATTGCTCCTTTTATATCTCAAAAGCGATTGGCTTAAGACACACCCTTCACTGATATGGGCTTATTAACATAAAAAAGAAAACTCTATTCCCAAATGGAATTACATCCACTGGTATAGGGGTTAGGATTTACAACACATATTTTGGGGGAACACAATTCAATCCATAACATTGAGTTTGAGTGCTCTTTATATATTTTGGACCCAAGCTGTTTTATCAGATGTATAATTTACAAATATTTTCAAAGTGCAGAAACCTTAATTTTGCTAAAATATGGAAGAACTATACAGGGTCCTGCATAGTAGAAGAATGAAAAATTACAATTTATCAATGTCTTATTTTATGGATGTTTTTGGTGTTCTACCTAAGAAATCTTTGCCTAACCCAAGGTCACAAAAATTTACTTTCTTCTAAAAGTTTTATAGTTTTATACTTAGGTCTATGATTCATTTTGAGCTAATTTTTGTAGATGGTGAAAGGTTTGTATTGGTCTACTTTTTTTGCATATGAATATCCAATTGTTGTAGTACTATTTGTTGAAAAAACTATCCTTTCTCCACTGAATTGTCTTTACACCTTTCTCAAAAATCAGTTGTACATATATGAATGGATCTATTTCTGGACTCTCTGTTCTGTTCCATTGATTTGTGTTTGTGCCAATACGTTGATAAGTCCTGAAATCAAGTAGTGTTAGTTCCCCAACCAAGTCCCTTGGTGTTGCAAATCATTAAACGCTCAGCTGCTAACTAAAATGTTGGAAGTTCGAGCCCACCCAAAGTTGCCTTGGAAGAAAGGCCTAGTGATCTACTGAAAAAATCAGCCACTGAAAACACTATGAAGTAGAGTTCTGCTCTGATACACACATCAGGTTGCCATGAGTCAGAGTTGACAGCAACAGGTAAGTCCTTGACATTTCCGTTTGAATTTTAGAATCAGTTTGTCAATTTTTAAAAGAAAAAGCCTCTAGATTTTGATTGGAATTGTGGTGAATTTATGTATCAGTTTGGGAAGAACTGACATCTTAACAATATTGAGTCTTCTGACCCATGAGCATAGTGTATCTCCCCATTTGTTTAAGTATTTGATTTCTCTCAGCTATGTTTTATAGTTTAAAATGTACATGTCTACACATCTTTTGTCAGATTTGTAGTTAAGTATTTAATTTTTTTTCATAGTATTGTAAATGACATGGTTTTTTTAAATGTAAAATTCTTGTTCGCTGCTGATTTTGTTTTAAATATTTTTTCCCTATCATTAAAGTTTAACTTTTGTAAAGTATACAAATCTTAAGGGTACAGCCTGATAAATTTTTACATCTGAATACACTGGTGTAATTATCACCTAGATCAAGATATATAATATTTCTAGCATCCCAGAAAGTTTCCTCATGCCCCCTGCCAGTCTAGAGATCCCCCTCTGATGTCTCTCTATATAAACGTATTTTTATCTTCATATAAAAGGAATCAATCAGGATATACTCTGTCTGGCTTCACTCAACATTATATATGTGAGGTTCATCCATATTGTTGTGTTAGTGGTAGTTCATTCTTATTAATTGCTGTGTATTCTATTTTGTGATTATACCTCAATTTATTCATTCTCCTATTAAAGAACATTTACTTCCAGTTTCTGCTACTGTGAAAAATGCTGCAACAATCATTGTTTCACATGCTTTTTGGTGAACATAGTACTTTTATCTGGAAATATACCCCACAGAAGAATTATTGGGTATATATTAGTAGGGTGTATGTATGACTAGCTTTAGGGGATACTGCAGAACAATTTTCTAACAGTTATACCAGTTTATACGCTCACCAACAATATACGAGTGTTACTGTTTGCCTACATCCATGTCAACACTTGGTATTGAAAGTCCTTTTAATTTTAACCTTTCTGGTGGTAGTGTTTAGTATCTTGTGATTTTAATTTCCCTGATATAGCTCCTCATGTGGAACTTCATTTCATATCCATATTGGCCGTTTAGATAACATCTGAAAATTAATGTAATTCGCATTAACATATTAATAAAAAATTAACATAATACAGGCAGAAAAAGCATTTGATATTGCATGCTTTCCCCCGATGTTACAACCAGAGGCACCTTGGAAGAAAGGCCGGGCAAGCTACTGAAAATTTAGCCATTGAAAACCCGGTGGAGCACAATTCTACTCTAATACACATATGGGGTCCATTATCACCACTTCTATTCCACACTATAATGGCCATCCTATCCAGTGGCAGAAGGCACAAAACAGAAATAAAAGGTATAAAGACTGCACAGGAAGAAGTTAAACCATCTTTATTCACAGATACAAGATTGTGATCATGGAAATTACAAAAGAATCTACAAAGTATTAGAAATAAGGGAATTCAGCAAGATGACTAAATATAAGGGCAATTTAAAAAAAATTAAGGGGCCCTGGCAGCTTGAACCCACCCAGCAGTCCCTTGGAAGAGAGCCCTGACAATCTGCTTCCATAATGATTACAGCCTAGAAAACCCTATGGGGGCACTTCTCTGTCACATGGGGTCACTATGAGTTGAAATCAATTTGAGGGCACCTAACAACATCACAAGATGCAAAAATCAAGAGTGTTGCTAAATACCAACAACAAACAAGTAGAAAATAACAATTTTAAAATATTCTTTAAGATGGCATTAAAAAATACCAAATCCCCAAGAATAAATCTAATGAAAGGTATTAATTAACAAGACCTTCACACTGCAGTCTACAAAACACTGCCGAGAGAAATTAAAGACCACTTACATAAGTGGAAAAGTATATAATATTCATGGATTGGAGAATTCAGTGTTGATGTCAGTTTTCCCCAAACAGATCTATAGATCCAATGCAAGCCCAGTGAAAATCCCAACAAGGTTTTTAATTTTTTTTAAGCTACATTAATTTAAGACAGTGGAGTACTGGTGCAAGGTTAGACAAATAGACCAATGGAATGGAAAACCTGGAAATAGATCCCCATATATATGGTCATCTACATTACAACAAAGGTGTCATTGGAATTTAGTGGGGAAATGACGATCTGGGGAAATGACAGTCTTTTCAAAAAACAGGGCTGGGTCAACTGAGATAGACCATATTTTAGACCATAAACCTAAATGTGAAAGTTAAAGTTTCTAGAAACTTTATTCAAGAAAACAGAATAGCTTCATGGTTTTGGACTAGGCAAAGCCCTCTTGGTTGCCTTTTCATTCTCTTGTCTTTTGGTAATACGTCCAAGTGTCTGCTGGGAACCCTTGGAAGTAATTTAAACTCAGTATATCCAAAATAAAACTCATTGACTTTCCTCACAAATGTTTCTCCTTTTCAATTTGCTGATTCAGCTAATCGCTATCATCTTTCACCAATTACCCAAACCAAAAACTTGCTCCCCTTCCAATTTAAAGGCAAGCCCAGATAGTTTTAATTACCTCAAACATTTCTGGAATTCACACCCTCCTGACCATTCCTACAATCACTGAAGTATTTCAGACTCTTCTTTGGCCTATATTACAGCTGTCTTCCAACAACTGTTCTCCTTTTCCCTTTAGTCATTCTTCCACTATACAGACAGAATAATGTACTTTAAAAATGCAAATCTGTTACTGCTTCTTAATTAAAAATCCTATAATGGATTAACATCATTAAAAAAAGTCACGGTCAGTTTTAACATAGCACACCATGCCCTTTATGACTTGGTACTTAACTATACCTCTCCAGCCATATTGTCTGCTTCTCCCTAACTTGAATTTTAGGCTCTACCAATTTTAGAGCTCATATTATCGTTTTCAAACACAAGTCCTATTTCTTCTGTCTGAATTGCCTTTCTCACTTCTTTCATCGACTCTCAATCATCTTTGAAGGCTGAGCTCAATCTTCGAGGAAGCTATTGCTATACCTCATTTATTTGACTAAGTGCCCCTCCATGTTATCACGTGACTATACTCCTTTCCTATTAACAATGAGAACAGAATTGGTTCAAGCTTCTTGTAAGCATTACTATCTTTGAATCCGAGAGCTTAGTCTAGATTTTGGTATATTGCAGATACTCAGTTACTTGTTTAACTCTTGACTGAGCCGTTTCACTCCACCCTCTTGTCCCGTGGAACTTGCTGGAAGCCCCTCCTATCAGTTTTGCATGAGTCAAAGGGTAGTGGAGACGACTTGACCGACTAGGCTGGAAAGCAAACCACTACAGAGACAGCCTCAGGCCACTTTCCCCTACTCAGAGCTTAGGAAGGGAAAATTTTTTATTCTCAGTGTGAGAAGCCAAGCAGAAAAAAGCCTGGACTGGTGGCGTTTTGGAAGTGGTACGGTACAGTCGCACTGGGCCCATTTATCCGGGAACCAAAAACCTCGTCCTCTTCCAGCTTCTGTCAGGGCGGAACGACTTCCAGCGAGTTCCAACACATTAGAGTTCCCAGCGCAACACTCCCAGAAACGACGCGCCATCCGGGAACTCCGCTCCGGAAAAGATGAGGCAGCAACGAGATGACGTCATGGGCCACAAAAGGCTCAACTGCTTGCAGTAGCCATGATAAAGGAGTTCGATGTAGCTTGTATTATTTGTAGACGTACAAACGCCTCCAAACGCTACATTTTTCTGAAGGATAGCAAGCAGTAAGTTACAAAAGTACTTTTTAGTTACTGCCCCTTAGAAAGTGTGGACGGCTCTGCCGGTGGCGGAACAAAGTGCGAACGTGGATACGGAGGCCTTTCCGTAACCATGGCTGCGAGGGGCGGGGACTGGGAGTGCTTTGGTCACGAGACCTGGGGGCTGGCCGGGAGGAATCGGTCCTCCACGATCCCAGCCGGCCTCGAGCCCGCTGTTTGCCTCTCCTCCCCTCTCCCGCACGCTGCGTGCCTGCTCGTTGGCTACTGAGGACGGAAGCTCGTTTGGTGTTTCTCGAGAAGTTTCCCCGTTTGGCGGCGGCGAAGCTGGTAGCCTCGGTTTTCAGAGTAGTAGTGAGTACTGGGGATGGCGGCGGCTGCAGCAGGACCTGCAACACCTCAGAGGTGCGTGTTTTTTCTTTCCTTTGGTTTTTTTTTTAAAGCCTCCTTTTTTTAGTCCGCTTAGCTGAAGTTGTTTTCCTGGCAGGTTTTTCCGGAGCCTCTCAGATGCTCTGATCGACGAGGACCCCCAGGCGGCGTTAGAGGTGAGAGCGGCTCTCTGCCTCCTCCGTTTTCATTTGGAGAACCGGGCCGCGTCGGGTTAGCCAATTCCGCCTCTTCCCAGCTCTGTCTTCCTGGGGCCGGGGCTGCTGTGTTTACTGTGTCTCAGCTCCAGTACTAAGAGCCTCAGTTTCCTTTCTTTATGCCCACAGTGGCTCCGGTGTCCCAGACCCTCTCCTCGGCCCTCCCACTCCTAGGTTCCCGGCATTTCCGCGGCTGCTTAGAAAATAATTTTTTTTTTCTGTTTTATTTCTTTGGGGGGGGGGTCTAAAAAAATTTTTAATGACATTTGTGAGTGGAAGAAAAGAGTGAAATCTGGGCTTGATGATAGTTTTTAAGACGGTTTTTAATGTGACAGTCTTTCCCATTTTTGTACCAGGTACTGGGTTAAGGACCTTTATGAACTCACAAAAACCTCTTTGTCCCGGAAAGTTTCCAGATGTCTTGTGTCTTAGTTTCTTCGTGCTGCTGTAACAGAAATACCACACGTCGGTGGCTTTTAAGAACAGAAATTTGTTTTTTTACAGTTGAGAAGGCTAGAAGTCCAAATTCAGGGCACTGGCTACAGGGGAAGGCTCTCTGTCAGTTCTGGTGGAGGACCCTTGTCTCAGCTTCTGTACTCGTTGCTGTCGAGTGGATTCCGGCTCAGCTGACCCAGTAGGACATAGTAGAACTGCCCCATAGGGTTTCCAAGGCTGTGATCTTTACAGCAGATAACCACATCTTTCTTCTGCTGAGTGGCTGGAGCGTTCAAACTGTTGACCTTTCGGCTAGCAGCTAAGGCTTCACCACTGTACTACTAGGGCTAGTAAGCTTCTGTAGCCCCAGCTGTAACTCAGAAGTGATTAGGTTTAGGGCAAACCCTACACCGATATGGCCTGATTAACATAACAAAACGGTGTTTACAAATAGGATTACATCCACAGGAATAGGGGTCAGGACCCCAACACATATTTTGGGGAACACAACACGTTGTCACTCTTTATACAGCAGGTTTATTTTGGGCTGGGGGAGTTCCTGTGTGCAGAGCACAGACTTGCTTGCAAAGCAATGTGTGTGTGCAGTGGAAAACAGAATGTAAAGCTGTAAAGGAGCAAGAATTAAATAATAATAAAGAACCCAAGCTAAGGTTACCTGATGAAGTGTATCAGAAAATTTAGCCTGAAGTTTCTTGTCTTCATCCACAGAAAAAAGGGAACCTCGTTAGATTGCTGAAATCTAATGTAAGTAAAGTTAGGAATTTGAGGCAAGAGAGTCTGTTTCCTAGCTGTGACTTCTAAAAAGAATTTATTATGTAGGTGGTCGGTTGGTCCTCTTTGAGGAGGTGACATTTTAGTAGAGACTTGAAGGAATGAGGGAGTGAACTTGGAAGCTCTGGGGAGAGAGCATTCCAGGCAGGAAGAACAGTCTGTGCAAAGATCCTGAGGTAGGAATAGAGTTGGCCTGTACCAAACCCCACCCAGTGCTGTCAAGTGCATTCCAACTCATTGTGACCGTATAGGACAGAGTAGAACAGACTGTCACATCCATCTCCTGTGGAGTGGCTGGGACTACCAGTCTTTTGGTTAGAAGCCAAGTGCTTTAACCACTGCACTACCAGGGCTCCTTTGGCCTATACAAGGAACAGCAAAAAGGCCTATTGACAAGAGTGGGATGAAAGAAGAATAGGAGATGAGGTTGCAGAGGAAACCAGGGGATAGGTGTCTTAGGGCTGTTTAGGTCAAGGATTGTTTGGATTTCCATGTGAAGGTCTTGAAATTGGTGATTGATGAGTCTGTTGTTTTATAATGTTTCATAGGGAGGCTTCTGGAATCAGTATTGGAATAATGTTACAGGTGGTACTGAGAATTTATCACCACAATTATATTAGCTAGACAGCTGTTAGTTTTTGGAATCCATATTTGTTATAGTCCTGTTAGGCCCATGGCTTCTTTGGAAATCCAGTTTACTTACAAGTTGCTTTTAATGGATTTCATTATCACTTTCCATCTTGCTTGAAGCAGTTCTACTCTGTAACACATGGGGTCCCCACAAGTCAGAGTCGACACGACAGCAGTGAGATTTTTTTGTTTCCATCTTGTTTTACTTTTTTAAAATTTAGTTTGTTGTTGTGGAGAATATACATGGCAAAACATACACTAATTCAGCTGTTTCTACATATACAATTCAGTGACATTGATTACTTTCTTTGAGTTGTGCAGCCATCTTCACTCTCATTTTCTGAGTTACTGCCCCATTAACTTAAACTCACAGCCCCATAAAGTTCTTCTCTAATCTTTTGAGTTACTGTTGTTACCTTGATCCCATCCTATATACATCTTAAAAGAGTTTAATGCTCAAGGCAGACATTTTTTTTCTTCTCTTTTTTTTTTTTTTTAAATTGTACTTCAGGTGAAGGTTTACAGAACAAATAGTTTGTCATTAAACAGTAGTACACATATTGTTTTATGACATTGGTTAACAACCCCACAACATGTCAACCCTCTCCCTTCTCGGCCTTTTTTTTTTGGTGAAAATACACATAGCCAAAGATACACCATTTCAAAAATTTCTACATGCACAGTTCAGTGACATCGACTACGCTGTTGCAGTTGTGCTGCTATTTTCACTTTAGATGAAGGTTTACAGAACAAAATAGTTTCTCATTAAACAGTACACATCTTGCCCTATGACAGTGGTTAACAACCTCACTACACATCAACACTGTCCTTACTCAACCTTGGGTTCCCTATCACCAGCTTTCCTGTCCCCTTCTGCCTTCTAGTCCTTGTTCCTGGACTGCTGTGCTCAAGGCAGACATTTTTTAATAGTTGAACTACTGTTTTGTTTTAAGAAAACGTTAGGGGTATTTTTGGTTTAAGGATTAAAGATTTCTCAAGGCAGTAGTTTCAGGGGTTCATCCAAACTTTATGGCTCCAGGAAGTTCATGGTCTGTGAGAATTTGAAATTCTGTTCTGCATTTTCCCCTTTTTGATGAGGATTCTTCTATGGAATCTTTGATCAAGACGTTCAGTAATGTAGCTTGGGCACCATCCAGTTCTTCTGGTCTCATGACAAAGAAGGCAGTTGTTTATGGAGGCAATTAGCCACACATTCCATGTCCTCCTCATATTCCTGATTCTCTTCCTTTATTGCTCCAGGCGAATCATCTTGCTTTACTTTTTAAAAAAATCTTGAGTTTTGAAATATAGTACATAAATCTTGTACAGCCTGATAAATTTTTATGAGTGTTTACACTTGTATAACCAACACCCAGATCAAGATACAGAAAGCTCTATCCTGTAAGGCTTCCTCATACTCCTTTCCCAGCTGGTAACTCCCCTTACCCACCAGGTAACCCCTATTCTGACCTCCACCATAAATTAGTTTTACTTGTTCTTGCACTTTATGTGAACAGAATCATACAGTAGGTACTCTGAGTGTAGGTAACATGCTTCCTAATTGTTCTATTTAATAACAACTCTTTTTTCATTGCTGTGTAGTGTTTCATTGTATGACTGTAGCACAACTTACTTATTACAATATGTATTTAGGTTATTTCCACTTAGTTAGCTATTATGCTACCGTGAACATTTTTATACGTGTATTTTGATAAACGCATGCACTCCTTTCTTATGGCTATATACCTAGAAGTGGAATTGCATAGGGTAGGTAGGTGGTTAGCTTTAGTACCTTAATTATCTTAATTACCTTAAGTGTGGCTCCTAGACCAGCAGTATTAACATCTCTTGGGAACTCATTAGAAATGCAGATTCTTGGACCCTATCCCAGACTTACTGAAAGTCTTTTAGAACTCACGTGGTTCAATACTTCTTACCCTTCCATTTTACAGAAGAAAACTGAGACCTAAAGAAATCGGAGTAATCTATTATAGAGATAATATACAGCCAGTTAGAAGCAGAACAAGGAGCCCTGGTGGCGCAACGTTTAAGGTTAGTGCTCAGCTACAAACTGAAAGGTTGGCAGTTTGAACCTACCTAGTAGCTCCACAGGAGAAAACTGGCTATTTGCTCCTGTAAAGATGACTGTTGTGTGCCGTTGAATTGATTCTGACTCATAGTCATCCTATAGGACGGAGTATAACTGCCCATAGGGTTTCCTAGGCTGTAATCTTTACGTAATCAGATCACCAGGTCTTTTCTCCTGTGGAGCAGCTGGTAGGTTTGCACCGCCAACCTCTTAGCAGTTGGGTGCTTAACATTGTGCCACCAGGGCTCCTTACCCCTAAAAATGACAGCCTAGAAAACCCTATGCGACAGTTCTACTCGGTCACGTGGTGTAGCTATGAGTCGAAATTGACTCGATTGCACCTAACAACAGACAGAATAAGGCCTCGGGACACAGGTTTCCCGACTCAGTCTAGAGCTGTAGAACAGTGTTCTTAGTGTGGTCCCCAGCCCAGCAGCAGCAGTGTCACCTGGGAACTTGTTAGAAATGCAGTTTCTCAGGCCCTACCACAGACCTGAATCTGAAACTGGGGTTGGGGAGGATGATCGTGACAGGAACCAGCAGTGTTAAGAGGAAGTGATTTTTTTAAACCTGGAGGTGATGTCACAAAGATGAACAGGTAAATGTTAATTATTAAGTAATTGGTAATAATAAATAGAGCTGGAATCTTGATGAGTGAGTCAATTTCTCCCTAGATTTTTCCAGGAGCTACTTTAACAGTAGCCATATTGGAATTCAGGGCACTTGTATTGTGTCATTTAAAATATGTCTATTTTTATACGAGACCATCCAGTTACGAATAAAAGGGGACATGTTTGTATCACATAAGCTAAGTCATATTTTTCATTCATTTAGCTGACATATATTAGTAGCAAATGCTGTATTGGGAACCAGGGATCTAAAGAGAAATAAATTATTGTGCATTGAGGGAGTTTGTGGTCTAGTGGAGACTCAGACAAGTCTACAGGTATTTAAAATATACAATGACTGCCCTAATGGGGTTGTGTATAAAGTATACTGAGAACATAGCAGAGTT